CTATAAACATAATATATAAATCCATGTATATCAGAGCAATAAACATAATATATAAATCCATGTATATCAGAAATACGAATATAATCTTGTCAATAATATGGCATGGTGTTATATATTTCTCTGGCGAATTGTATTCATATATGTACCCAAGTTTAATGCCAAGCTTTATAGTTTTCTTTGTAATCAGCAAAGCAATAGAAAAAAAGAACTAGCAAAACAATTTGTCAAAATTCATACTCACAAGGAAACATATCTTTAAACCGATTTTTGTCTTTCTTTACGGCTCCCTTTCCGCATTCATGTGAGTGTTTTAGTCCTCTAGGAAATTTCTATTAAAATAATCCATAATCTATTTAATAGTTAGTTCATTAGTGTTGAAAATATGAGTACGGATTTGAATTCTTGGGAAAATGATTAACGCCTTAGCCGAAACGACGTAAGTTTCGCCCAACCCTACCCCTCGGAATTTTCTCTCAACCTTTATATCTTACTGAATAGTGCGTTTGCTTAATTTGTCTATCAAACAGTTAATAACGCTAAGCAGGGCTTAAACAAAACATGCCAGCAAAAACTGTTTTCAAGTTAAGTCAATTATTTACGTAACATGGTTGCAATTGATATACAAATTGTAAGACAAACTAGATTTATTTTTATTTTCATTTTTTTACAACGAATTGATATCTTTAAATCATTGGAATTCGCAACAGACCCTCCACGAAAAAAGTGGAATACATTTAATTATATATCAATTGGTAATCAGGATTTGAAACCATAAAAAGAAAGTAATTAAAGCTCTCTTAGAATGCATGTGCCTGTCACTTTTTTTTACAGCTTCATTTACGTTTGTTGCCTGGATATTTTCTTAAGTAATTAGCATTTTAAGTTCATTGTACTTGATTCGTTTGTACTTACCGCGTATTCTTCCTTGAAAGCACCGGACTCCTTCTTGAACGCTATAACCTCTGTTAATTCAGAAACATTGATTTTAGTATCAACAGTTGCTACATAGTTAGAGTAAACATTTTCTGAATGGTCCATATCCTCAGACATATTGTCATCGGTTTCTTCAAGGTATGTGCTCAGATGTGAAGCTATACTTCCTACTGAAATCCCGTCATCGACGTTTTTATAGATATTTTCTCCCTTCGGCCCTTCCTCTTCATTTATAAATGAATATATTGATTTGTCATTTGTTGTTATTAAATCACCGCTCATTTTTGTCGTGTTCTTATCTTCTTTTAAATCTTGCACGTTCGGAGAAACGATGTCACAGACTTCACTGGTATCTACAAATAAATGATAGAAACGTAAGTGTAACAGATATGGTAATTTTGTTTTATTTCATTTCTAGGGAGTATACTGATTCATCTAAGTAGGATGTAGTTTCACTGTGTCAGGTAACAATTAATCCAACAGACAGGTAAGGAAGAGTTGCGCTTACAAGGTTTCTGTGGCAAGTTTTAAGGGCCATAACATAATATTCGAATCACAAATTCCGTTATTCAAGCACAATTACATATGATATACTTTTACTGTGCCAGGCTACAAAATAATCAACATTTAAGAAGAAGATGCACTTGTAAAAAAGGGAACATATTCAGTTTTTTCTGTAGGCTTAACGTAATGGTTAAATGTTAATTATCACGATAGGTCAATTTTAATTATCATTATCGGAATAATTCTCAAAATATGTTTTGGCAACCTAATGATCCATATCAAATATGTGACAGTAATACGCCTCTATTCAGAACTATATGTTGATCATAAATGATACCATGTAGATATTTTTTTCACTTCCACCATGCATTAAATATCAGAAATCACATTTAGGAATAAAGGAATAATGCTTTCAATCCATGGATTTATTTTCTTTCTTGCTTGACCTAGTAAGTCAAGTGAGACAAGAATCGCATGTAGTTTACTTTACTTCACCAGACCATGACACACCCAGATGAACACTCATTTCTGAATGAACGGAAACAGAAAGCAGGTTTATGTTCATATTAACCAATTTTGAATAATCAGTATTATTAACAAATATTTATTAAACATTCTTCATTTTCAGAATTTGAAGATGTTATCGTAATTTGTGTTCACATTAAATATATCATTTATCTGTTGGTATGAGCTAGTGAAACCAAACCTTACAAATATGTCATCTTAACCATGACGAAGCCAAAAGGGCGAAGCAAATATAAATACCAACTAAATTTAGGATGGGTACGCAATGGTACATATACGTTGAGTTTGCTATCAAATATGTTCAATAATATCGGCATTTCAGCAATTTCATTTTGATTTTTACTTTTCATTTATGAAAAAATATAAACTTACCAGTTTTATGAAACTCTACCGATCTTTCAACTGAAGACGTCCTTCTTCTTAAGAAAGGAAATGCAAATATAGTATGGTGTTAATATCATTATGGCGAAACAATTTACTGTAATTAAATCATTTAACGAATATTAATGCTGTCAAAATATAAGTCAAATATCAAGTGATAACTAATGAAGTCTGGTACATGTTCTTCGTTCCATCTTATATACCTGCGGCTTTGATGTTGTCACTAATACTATTCTAATATCAAAAACATACAGTATATAATGATCTATAAAACACAGCTTAAAATCCTCATATATAACAACGGAACAGTGTATTACTGTCACTATAAAACGTTTATATACCTCAAAATTACATTATATGAATGTCTCTGAAACGAATTTTATACCCCTAAAATATAACAACCGTACACTATATGGTTGTCTATAAACCATAGCCTATAACCCTCACATATCACTATCGTACATTATATAAATGTCTCTGACACACAGCTTATACCCCTCAAATAAAACACAACCGTACATTATTTAATGTCTCTGAAAGACAGTTTATACCCCTCAAATATCAACACGGTACATTATATAAATGTCTCTGAAACACAGCTCATACCCCTCAAATATCACAACCGTACATTATATAAACGTCTCTGAAACATAGCTTATACCCCTCAAATATCACAACCGTACATTATATAAATGTCTATGAAACACAGCTTATACCCCTCACATAAAACAACCGTACATTATATGGTTGTCTATAAACATAGCCTATTAATTACGTTAACGTCTTACGGGTTTAATAGTGGGTTAGAAATGGTATTGTCTTAATTTGATTATCTGTCTTCCTGAAAGGCCTACAAACCTGATTTAAAGGTCTTACCTGTGGTGTATTATGAATACTGCAATCAGAACAATTGCCGCAATAACGAGCACACCGCCCGCTGCAGCTCCGATAGTTGTCGACATATTTTGGGCGACTGGAACTGTTAAGATACAGCAAATATATTCACGATTTTAGACAACTATCTTTGTGGCGTCATTTCAAGAACGAACACAGTAATAAAATGTCTGCCAATATTTTGCAACTTACAAAATATTAAGTGTTTTGGTAATTTTTCAGGATTAATGCGTTCTGAAATTTCTAAAACAAAAAATAAATACCACTAATGAAATCCAATGAAAATAGTAGGGCCCGGATAATAAATTGAACAGTTTTGAACCATCCTAGGTATCTGTCATAAAGCTAGCATTTAGTATAAAAACGTTTACCAGTTTCGCTTTGCTGCTTATCGTCTAAAAGGAAAGCTAGTGCTGCCTATATATGTATTGAAACACTCGCGTAACTATCGTGCAACAATATTGAGAGATTGTTTTATGAAAATTTGAACATTCCGGTTGTCTCCCTTTAAAGGGTACGGTTTTCTTTTGCAAAGGCATTCAACATTTACAAGTGTTAATTCAAATAGAAGTTATGATATTAAAACTGTCCATTCAACTTAGTAACCCATCTAGGGTGAAACAAACATAATTCAACAAAATATCAGCACTTTGCGCTAAAACCTCCTGGTGATTCAAAATTAATTAAAGTGAATTTGTTAATAGTGACATATAGTGATAAACTCAAATAAATAATATTCTATTACATAACATCAATATAAGATATGAACGTGATAAACAATGTTTTGTTCTAATATAAAATTTTGTTAATCTCATTTATGTACATAAGGGGAGATACTTTTCCGAAGCCTGCTCAGGTTTTATTGTACATTTTTATTGTATACCTGTCATATACATGTAACGAAGGTCTATCGAATGGAATGCCGTTCTACCGCTCGCCAATGTTCACGCATTTTCGTAGGACTTTTAATATCTTACAAAACTCACAAAACACAGTAGTTTTACAGAGCTAGTAAAAAGGAGGAAACCAAAAGTATTAATGATCGTCCAAAACAAAGCAACGTGATCGACAGCAGAAAATATAACTGCCTCGTAAAAACACATGATATACTGTACATATGAGGCCAGTACCCAAACCAGTGCCCCTACAGAGTCGGGCAGTACCCAAACCGATGTCCCTTTTTGTTTCGTGTTTTCTGCTATAGGGGGCATTATAAAGACTAAACTGATCTGCTGCCCCAACACTTTTTTATCTATTATTTTGGTCTCACCTTTCAGTTATTTTAGGTGTCTCCCTATGCACCTTCATATGACCTTAGCCGTTGTAAGAACGTTAATACACGAGTCAATTTCTGTATTTGTATGGCGGTAAGTGTGTTCACTGCGTGAAACACCTCCCTTAAGTACATTACGCACATTGCACTCACATTGACATACCAAACACTTGTATTTACGATAACCTGGCGGTAACTCCCCAATACACAATACGGAAATGACGACACGGAAATACGACAAGAAAAACGTGTGTTTTTACGCAGGATTAAGCCTTGCTAAACCTAAAGGATCAACTTATATCAATGCATTAAAATAACATGAAGCATACACATTGTGGAAGGTATAGTATATATACCTTTATTGTAGTAACTCCAACTTTCAGAAAGAATCCGTAAGCATACTTAGTATTATGTTGGTGCTATGGGCCAAAATATTTATATTAAAAATAATTTAAAAAAAATATTGTTCTTAAGTTCAACATGTATTGTCATCAATGTGCTTTCAAAAACTGTAGATGTAAATTGTTATGAGAATGTAATTGGTCGAAATGGACATATTTATCAACGGCACCTATCTGATTAGGGAGTTTGATCATAAAGAAACTCTCTTTCTAGCAAAACGTCAAAGGTTCTTTGTCACAAAGACTGTATTGTTATCGCTGAGCCATGTCAAACCTTGATATGGGTGTGGTCACACATACCCTACCTTAATCGTTATATTAGATAGGGGCATGGTCACAGATACCCTGCCTTTATCGTATTATCAGATAGGGGCGTGGTTACAGATAACCTGCCTTTGTCGTTTTATCAAATATGGGTATTGTCACAGAGATCCTGCCTTTATTGTTTTATCAAATAGGGGCGTGGTCGAAAATGCCCTGCCTTTATCGTTTGATCAGTAAGAGGCGTGATCACAGAGACCCTGCAATTATTTTGTTTATATTTAAATTAAAGATGATAAATATATATACTTTTATCATTAACTTGGACAATGTAAACAGTTTTGTGTTTAGAGTTTCTACTAAGTACATTTATATTGTTTAGAGCGCTGTCTTCCTAGGCCCATTGTTTTATTATTCTACGATAAACATTACACTTACCAGGTTTGAGGTTGCAGAGGTCGCCAGTCATCCCGGAAATGCAACCACTCAAGCAGTCCCCATGGACCTTTTGACACTTTCCTTCCTGACAGCCCTGGCAGCTATGTTGACAGTTAATTCCATAGAGATAGTCTTCGCATTCTAAAGAAACAGATTATTTAAACGGTTTTGGAGTGTTTGAAAAATTAACACGGTTCCAACATACTGAGAAATAGATTTTGCATTCTAACCAAACCCAGTATTGCAACAATAAATACAGTCAGCCATAAGAAATCGGAACCCGAGTTTCATAATTTTGAATAGGGTATCTATATTATAATATACATTTTATCTAATGATAAATCATAAAATACCACAAGTGTGAAACGACATGATCAGAATTATTACATAAAAATTTTCAAGATTCAACAGAGTATAATATGTATATGCTTGAATAAAAATTCGATAGGAACATTGATTTAACATTGTTATCTAAAACGATCGATATATGTCACATCGAAGTCCGTGCGTTACTAAAATGATACGGAAATCACAACTCGACTGGTTCTGAGAGCCAGACTTTTTATGATTATAATTATGACTATATCATATTATATAATAAAATTATTCAAAGAAAATATCATACTGATACTTGGTTAAATTATTCAGATTTTCTCATGTAAATATCACATGTAAGCATTTAGGCAAATATACTATAAGGTTTCTACTAAATAACATATAACAGTGGGTTTCATTCAAAAATAGTTCCTTTTCTAAAAAGTAGTACAGTCCCATAGTACAAGTGATGCCAATGATTATTACTCTTTATATATATATATATTTATATATGGTAAAATGTCTTATGCTTTGACAAATACTCGGGTAGATATGGCATATAATTCCGGTGGTTTGGTGCTTCCGTGGTGAATGTGAATAAGTTTACAGCACATTGAAGAGTTGGACAGCCGTCTTATTAATTGAGCAAAACAGGTGCAATGCAACGTTTAGGAGTAAAGGTTTTCGTATGTGTAACCTTTCACCGTTTTACGTTAATTTAAGGCATGAAACAGAGTATGAGATACGAGGGACGCTTAGCATAGAATTGTTTTAATATTACGCATTTCGACTCGGCAAATCGCGAGGGGATTTTATTCATTACAAGATAATATCAAAAGTAAGTACAAATCTACTGACAGCAAAAGGAAACAACTTAATTGGTCCCCCAAGTATATGCATCCTTGTCTTTCCATATATAAATGTAGTGCCTGTACACGGTGCGTTCAATGCATAAGTGTAGATGTTACGACATCCGGTGATACGCGTCCATTTATCACTGAGATACATGTAATCTTGTCTCAAATCATAACCTTTTTACTGCCTATATAACATATAGTAGAACTTGCTTATCCGGATTCATACCAGTTAAATCATGGTTAAAAAAAATGCAAATTACATTTAATTTCATTTATTTTATTAAGATAATTGTCATCATATGTCTAAATCCATGTAAACTTCAGTGATCCTAATTATCTTAGATGAAAACAAACTCATCTTTCTGTAAATTCAAATGAACTAATGTGTCGTGTACTAATAGACTCTGGAATTAAAAACATAACATTACATAGGAACAACACTTTCCTGAAAACGAACTACCTGTAGTAGATTATATTACTTTCAATCCTCTACTCGAAGTTACAGATGCTATAGTCAGCTGCACACTGATACTATTCAATTGCACATAGAGTGTAAACAGGACTGGAAAACAAGCTAATACCTTATATTTTACTTTTCCCCTATTCTCATATACCTATTATTGTAAACGGAAGGAAAAGAAGGTAGCCTGCATTATATATACATACATTGGTTATAAAACAATTGCTTTTATCAAAACGAATACAATCAAACATCTGTAGGGCAACAGTAAGTTAACAATATTAATCAAGTATTTTACCCGTTGGTGATAATATATTACATAGCAACAATTATGCCACTTTATATGTCGTATATTATAAATTAACCTTAGATACATAATGTCAAATGATAGAAGTATTTACCTTACAATATATTGATAGTGTTTGTCATCATTTTCTGTGTTTAACTAAAAATAAGACTGTCTACAGCCAAATAAGAATGATCCTGCTGATTGTGTTTCCACTTTGTATCTGTTGTAATTTAAGCAGTCGTCCTTTTGAACACTTCAAAAGGAAGGGCATTTTAATATATGAAGACAATGCAGGTTATAAGTGAATTGTTGAACCACTTAGAAATGCGTTCTAAGGAGATGCTTAAAAACAAGATTACTTCCCTGTCTTGTTATTGTCATTGTAGCCATCCGTAAGTGGTAGCAAGGCTAATGTTGGGATAATGAACACGTGTATATACACATATAGAAGATAGGTTCACTAAGGTTTATGTACTGAAGGCCGCGTGTTAATTTTGATCTACACAATATCATGAGATCAATGACAGTTTATGAGGTCTGTACTGAGAGGAGAACTAGGGCTTCATGTTTAATATGGGTATAACCGATTTGCGTTCATACCGGACATGAAAATTAAAAAAACGCCGTTCAATCCATATATTAACTTTATTACTATAGAACAATTGTTTTATTTTATTTATTTGTTCTTAAATTGTTTATTTTATTTACTGCGTTTTGTATATGCGCCGTCCTTTAAACGACATTCGCGGAACAACCCTATTCAACTAAAATTGGCCCAAATAATTAACCGAAGTCATTTGAGCGTTTGACGCAGAAGCATTATCCATGTTATCCGAAGCGAAGCGACAAGGTTCTCATTGAACAAGGTTTATCTATGACGTCATAAGTAAACCACGTGTTACGTCACGAGAGTGTTTGCTTTCACACTCAAATGAAATGCATTTCTGCTGGTAATGTTCATAAAGTGGGTTGCAGCGCAAATGTAAATATAAACTAATGGATACAAAAAATGTCATTTTGATTCTCAGTTCATTTCCCTTTTCGTAAATATTGCGAAAAGAAGACAATAAAGGAACGAAATTTACAATTCGCGAAAACAGCACAAACGCCAATTTCTTCAATATCATATACTTGTGGAAATGTCCTTACTGCACTAGAGAAATGGTGTATGTCGTTTACATTTTTCATCTATCCGATATTAGCAGAAAAACTGAATTTCCAAAGCGTTATTTTTTTTCAGTTTCACAGTATCACATGCCTACCTTTGTCACATAACTCTCCTTTGAAACCGGCCGTGCATCCTCGAGAACAATGACCATTGATGTGGTGACAGGTATCGTTACTCATACAACTACCACACATACCCGAACAGTTAGTCCCGTATGAACCCTGGTCACACTCTACAACAAAATATAGATATTGCAGAATATTTTGATATAATTGTCATAAGTTTATTATTTCAAAAGAAATGCTAGTCTGGAAAAGAAATTAAATCAGAGCCACCTCTGCCTCAAAAATATTTGAAATACGTTTACGTGCCAAAATACCAAATTGTCCCTTTTTAAGTATAGTTAGATCTATTCAAGGGCCTAAGTGACCCGGATAGTATTTCATGTTCTACTTATAGAACCACGTGTTGGAAAATTAACTTGTAATAGAAAAGAATGATGGATGGTATATATTTATGAAAAATGAACAAACATTTTTGGAATTGATACTATGGTATACAATACATTAATATTTAACTAATAACTGTCCTGTTTTGGGGTACGCTGATGGTAGAGTGCTATAAACTATAGTGTCTAGAAAAAACAAAACAATTTGAAGGACATTCTGAACCCCCTATAAAATACCGGATGCAAAAAACGCCTCAGAAAAAACACGGTATAATATACACAGACGGGGTGGGGGTATCAAACATGGAAGAGAAAAGAATACTTACTCTGGCTGCATGTGTCCGTCCTCCATCCGTCCTTACAGCCACCCGGTGGACATAGTCCTGTCGTCCTGTTACACGACTCTGTCTGACAATTACAGCTCTGATCACAGTTATAACCATAGGACCCAGGGTCACATTCTAATAACAACAACAGAATAAAAATAAGAAGAGGAACAAATGGGCACGCTGATTTTAAATCTGTTTGTAATGCTGTTATAAGACGGGTTATTTTAAGGTAGACACAGTTAATAACTATATCAAAGTTACAACTTTGAGTACAACTTAGTAGATGGTTTGGTAGGTTAACGTTCACTGGTGTACTCACGAGAACTACATGAAGGTCCGTTCCAGCCTCTATCACACGCGTTGCCTGGACAGACACCGTGTGTTGGGTCACACGTGCCATTCTTACAAAAACATTCTCCTGTACAATTGATTCCAAATGTTCCGATCGGGCAAGCTGTCAGAAATCAATTACATTCAAGTAACATATATTACTAACCTAAGAACGGCCTAGTATAACATACATCATCTGATTTGACTGCCAATATAATAATTCATATATATGGATTGAACGCCGTTTTACCCCCCAATGTAAATGCCGGTATGAACGCGAATCAGTTTCATACATATATTCCACAAAGCCGATACGACTTCTTGGTAAATGTTTATGTAACGGATTTACGTTCCTACCGGCGTGAGAATGAAAAATGCTGTTCAAGACATACATTTGAATTCTAAATTATATAGTTATTATTGATCAAAATATAGGTATTTCCTTATATTTTCGATATTGAATTGTCCGTGTTATCAGTGCGGACGAGATTTCTGGAAAGGCCTAACGCCAACAAAATGTTTTGTTCAAACGCTTGTCTCGTACATTATTCGAAGCGGGAGAAGCTTCAACATGACGCTGATCAAATTGCGTCCATAGCATGTTAACATTTCTTTTTTAATTTATTTTTGTACCAAAACAAAAGGTTGTTCTTCTGTATTGTAGAATATGTTTCAGATTGCAAATATTAAAATAAAATAGAGTTTACAGTCGCACATAGCCTTTGGCTATGACAAGTTAACTTCTGTTCAAGGAGCAATGTCGATCCTTTATTTCAATAAGTTCTATATGTTATCTTACAAACCATAGTAATATATTTCGTTTTACAGAGAAAAGTGTTTTTTTGCGTTAGGATCGTAGTTTTTTTTTCGGATAACTCAATATTTGTCATACCAGTTGCTTTTAACTTTCCTCTTTTGGAGACCTCTGTAACTTCCTATTTATATATTACTTTACTTACCCTCATCACAGAAGGATGTGGTCCATCCATCCGAGCAACCGTTAGGACATTTTCCAGTCACGTGATCGCACGGAGCATTGTGTCTACAGGCTCCGCATGTAAGGTTACAATCATGGCCAAACCTGCCTTTGTCACATTCTGGACAGATGGAAGATAAACAATTCAACGTAAGACCAAGAGCATACTCATTATATATATCAGAGACAGAAATTATGTTTCCATTTAATGGGTGGTAGTTCAGCTGCCAATGTTGATATGTTTTGTGTTACCTTAAATCAAAACAATTTTGCACATGACTTTGTAACTGTAAAAATAGATAGCAATAACCTAGAAAGTTATTTGATGACTGACTGGCGTCCTTCCATCAGGTCATTACTTCAGGCGAGGTCAAGCATTACAGTCGTTAAGTGCCGATCGTTATATAAGTCATCTCTCTTTATACAATTAAGGCTATCAGCAGTAATAGGGTAACTGAAAAAAGGAGTGTTGTGATGTTTGTTTAAAATTTTATACGTGAAAATATTTGAGATTGTTAAGAATTAAAATGATCAGTCTTTTATCCTTACCTTTACTGCAGGATTCCGTTTGCCATCCTGGCTCACATCCATCATATAAACAAGTTCCATTAGCAGCGTCACATGGTCCCTGTAGACAGTGACATGTTTCTTCACAATTTTGTCCAAAGGTTTGGTCGACACAACCTGTACGTCAATGTACACATACTTAAATTAGGATACATGCTTAAATGACACTTCATTACTTACAATAACCTATACAACATCTTATCAATATTTTTGTGGGCAGAAAAAACTGTTTTTATATTTAACGAATAGATCTGGTAAAATATTTAGTAATAAAAATGATAGGACAGCGCCCCAGGCTGAACATTAATTGGATACCATGGATACCCACGTTGGTTACATGCTGTCCCGTTCCACCCCTGCTGACATCTGTCGCTAGGGCAGGTTCCATTTCGAGGATCACATGTGTCAACATCACAGAAACAGGACTGCTGACACCCTAAACCAAAGCTGTCATGGCTGCATGCTGTAAATATATCATAAAAAATATTTAATTCATTAAATATTTGTTACATATAATCATGATTATAAAACAGGAATCAATTGCGTTTGATAACAAAAAAGTGTTTAGTGATATTAATGGCACCAAAGAATACATTTTAAAGTATGTTCAGAATAATAAATTGTTCCTCCCTAATGCCAATAAGGTTTTCTTAAGTAGAGCGTTCCATCTTTTTCCACAGTATACAAACACTGAAGTTATTTCCATTGTAATTTCCTTTCTCTATATCAATACAAAAAACAATGGTTGTTGTGGGCCTTTATAATATTACGAAAACTATAAGCTGAAAAACATCGTTCATCACCGGAAGCACAGGAGATAAACCTTTCTGGCATATAATCAGAAAGTCAGTGTCGAATCCACATGGTTTTTATCCAAAATAGTTTTCGACTAAATAAAATAATGCTAATGAAACAACGAAAGCAACTCAGAAGGTCAGAAAAAAACAATTAACAAATGTGTACGTTTTTTTCGTTGGAGATGCAACAATTCATTACACAGTTATTATTTTATCGAGTAAAGCATAGAAAATAAAATCCATAGGATTCGATTGGCATAGATTATTTCGACTTTTTACAATTTCCAGTCATCAAAAGTCAATGGTGAAAAGTTTTGAAATGAAAATTGTTTTCATTAACCTGAATATAATTATACTGTTTATTTTCGGTGTATTCCAAAAACAAAAATGACACCCCTCCTCATCAGTTATTATTATCCCCAGGTCTAAAAAATCTTCATGCCTGTTTCGTTAAATGCTAATATTTATATTTTTAAGTAAATTAGAAACCTGATCTGCTCAATGAAGCTCTCGAACCATGTTGTCACGTAAGAAAACCATTTCAACGTATTGTCTCGTTCAGATATCAAAATAACAGAGGAGAAATACAGGCCATATGTGTCTCTTGTTTTGAAAGTCGTCATGCTGTCGTTCGTTCTGATGTCCATTCATTTGTTTTCTTTCATAGACTCCAATTGCAAATCTGGCAAGACTACCGTAATTTCTTGTGTATTGACTTCATGTGTGACGAAATGATTCCAAAAATCTGTAAAAAGTGGGGGCTATATGGTCTCTTCAAAATGCAAAATCGTATACATCTGAATTGTAAATAAAAACGCAACTAAATTATGGAAATTCTCAAGTTTTATCATCCAAAATATGCATGAAAACTTCATACTATCGGGCACTGTGTAATATCGTCTATGATGAGTATTTAGTGGATTGCTAAGGGTTGACTTGCCTGTTTAAATCAGAATAATGAACGGTATTGTTAGTTTATCAAGGATATGTTTAAAGTTTACCAACTCATAAATGAATCTATATCGAAAATATCGATTTTTAACATTGTTACATAGCCATATAAATACATGTGATAGCTACATGTATCTGATGTTAGAAATGAATCTTACATACATCGCGTAAAATATTTTTTCTGTAGCAAATAACCAATGGAAAACTCCTGGGGCGGATAATATGCTGATTTTTTTCCCTAAGCATGCTATTTTAAGGGGCGCAGGAAATAAAACGGAGCGGGCAATACGCAAGATAGTACAGTCTTTTGGAAACTCAAGACGAGGTGCGTAGCGTATATTCCCATAACCAAAATAAAAATTGAGGAGTAATGTGTATGGACGATCTCGTACACTTTTTCCTATATGATTTACATTAACTGTTAGCGATATTCACCTGTATCACAGATGTCTCCCTGCAGGCCGCTTTCACACCCAGCAAAACATGTGCCGTTGTCCGGATTACAAACTCTATCCCGGCATCCATCCGGACACTGTTCCAAACAGTTGTCCTGTCCAAACCATCCAGTCGGACAACCTTTTTAAAAGATACAATACAAGTCAAGTACATGATATGTGTTAGAAAGAAAATTAGTGTTTATCATAGAGTTAAAGAATGTATCTGTTATATAACTCTGCATAACCAATGGATTTGGTTATGCTTATTCGTAGTCTTAAAGGTATAGTACTATCACTTACTATTTCAAATCATAAGAAATGTTTTATTTATATCGGATATTACTATCGGAACAGCCGAGTCTGGCCATGTATCGGGTATTAATATATATCGGAACAGCCGAGTGTATGGCCATGTATCGGGTATTACTATCGGAACAGCCGAGTCTGGCTATTTATCGGTTATTACTATCGGAACAGCCGAGTCTGGCCATGTATCGGGTATTTCTATCGGAACAGCCGAGTCGGGCCATGTATCGGGTATTACTATCGGAACAGCCCAGTCTGGCCATGTATCGGGTATTACTATCGGAACAGCCGAGTCTGGCCATGTATTGGGTATTACTATCGGAACAGCCAAGTCTGGCCATGTATCGGGTATTTTTGATGTCTAGACACGAGTACAATAAGAGTAATATAATTGCAAAGTACAACAATCTGTAAGCTTTAGATACCACCCAGTGTCTATGTTAAAGAACATTAAGTTAATAAGGAGAGGAATCATTTACTGATGTTAACGTACAAGATGAAATTTCCGCAGAGATTTCTCGGGTAATTAATTTGATCGCGAAATATGATCTGCAAAATAATAAAAGCGCAAAAATGGGCCGCAATAATAAACTTCATAATTAAAATAATGTCGCGATGAAATAGCGAGCAGGTGGTTGTCACGATTCATATTTATCGAGAGTAATAGAAGATGTTTGAAAACAAAATAGATCGCGTACATCTAGTAGTTTTGTTGGAGGCCTGTGATTTGACTATTTGACACTACATGTTTATATGTCGAGTGTCCCGTTGCTGTGCTTAAGATAAACGGGGAACCTCATACACACTCGTATTGCCGAATGTATTCGCCACTGGTAACTTGTACAGGCAAACAGGTAAACATATACATGGGTTATTTATAAATTGACATTAGAATCATCCACATCATCTGTTTCTTTATCTATAGAAATATTAATAGAGTATACTCTACGAACTCGCCAAAGGATAGTACCGATATTATGGTGATGATATTCGCGAAAATTTCGTTCATACAAATGTCCAAATCGTGAAGTTATAATCCGTGTAAATTAATTTCCTTATTTTGTGGTCAAAAATTAAGCCCACGAAAATAGCCCGTTATACGGTAATATTAATTTAAATGTCCTCTGTTTACCGTATGCCTCTAGCTCGCAAAGCTCTACATAAGGATTTGGATCGACAGTGCCTTCATTATCAGCGTATGTTATAAAACGTCCTCTGGCTAGACACGGGACCGTCTGCTGAAGAGGTGGGTTTCTTCTAGTCTCGTCACGACATATATGGCCTTCTATCTGGTGATTCGAGTTCCACAGGCGTCTATCCTCTGTGTCTGATACAATCAGTTTGTAACCAAACATTCTATATCTCGTATCTGAAACCGGACAAAGCAAAATAATGTACACTTTTCTGTTATTGAAAACTTACCCAAAAGGATTATAGTTGTAATGCTGATATTCAAACTCAGTATGGATATTTCATGTTCAGAAATTCATTAACACACACATATCTGTCACCTGAAAGATAACAAACCAAAAGGAAAGTTCCCTATGTTTAAGCAATATTTTGAAGCTTGAATCTTGAATGTTTTCTTCTGAGGTTTAAATCACGTTAAAGTCTCGTTTGGATCTCATGTAACGTGTTTTTGTAGTATTTAAGGAATTATGATCAATTTCAATAGCAAATACGCATCTGAAAAATGTGTCAAAACACTAGATGCTTTTAGTTTGTAGACTTTTTTACACGAACTTAAAATAAAATACCAACTCGGCGGCACTTTTGAAAATGTCAATTTATTGCACTTCACGAAAGGCCAACATTTCACCTTTTTGACACTAGATACACTCGAACGTCAATTTGTCGCCATTTTTAATTGTAACAAGTTCATTTTTGCTGTTTAACTTCATAATATTCAATATGATGAAAATAATATGAACTAATTGGGAAATTATGCATTATTGGTATTTTTTCATAATTAGTGTAACTGAAGCACTTTTGATTTGTGACCCCATAAAGGGGAATATTAACCCAAATAATAATGAGGAAACAAAGAAAAAGAAGCAGGCGGACTCCCTCCCCTGAGTTTATGTTTCTATATTAGATATATATATTTATATACATACATATGAAGAATCTCCTAGAATAGATGAAAGTACTAAAGACTCGTTGTTGAGATTTTTTTTTATAAAATACATATATATAGCTTGAGACAGGCTCAAAATGTAGACTCACCAGGACTAGAATTTGGATACTGCGAGAGCCTATATTTATTACAAAGAACTCTCGTTAATACAATACAATGATATTCGAACAGACGAAATTTAATTCATGGTCAGTCAAAGTCATAACTGTTTCGATCTAAATAAAAGTAAATACTTGTACAAAGTATATCGTACCTACCACGTCTATAATCAATGTCGATCCTTGCTATGGTGTAATCGCCAGTGAGGTTCACCCACCAGCGAGGGAATTGTTCATATCTGGTGTGAACACATCTGTCAAAAAATGCGTCATCATCTGTGTATTTAGTTCCGTCCACAATATTTTCAGCTTTTGATTTCCAATACCAAGTTGATGAGAGCCAGGCTGGTTTATGAAACGCCACATTAACTGAAGTTAGAACAAAAACAATAAATAAAAATCAGAAAAAATAGTCTCTTTAATACTCAGACCTACTAAAACATTTTTCTTCATTGGAATAAAAAATATTACACTGCGTGTTGTTAAAACAGCCAATGGATTAACAAATTAAAACACTGTTTATTATGCAATACAACACACGATTTGTATCTTGCATTGCAGATAACAAGAGTGTTTGAGCGGATGAATTCACTAACGAGTGCGTAAGCGAATGGAATGTACGTCGATATCTACACGTTCTATTATAACATAATAACAGTATAATAATATACAACATTTGGTAAAGCTCCCTTTCTAGCTAGAATAAGACATTATAAAGTTCTTTATAGTACATAGATATACAATTCATACAATCAAACCAATTAGAATATACATTAATTAATACAACTTTGAGGAATTTACAGGGAGCTTCCTTATCAGGCGCTAACTACTAGTCCTATGTCGCCTGGCTAATATCTTCCTATGTGTGTGTGTCTGCGTGTGTGCTGGAGATGTATTGTGTTCTGTTTGTAGTTGGACTGTGCTTCCAACAGTATCATTTATAGTGCCACCTCACTTGAATGCTACAGCACAGATACCGCAACATCCACCCCAGAGCATTTTATACTCCACCTGGGTTGTTGGAGTTGTGTGGGCATGAGAAAAACACTTTCTCTAAATATTCCATGCGTACTAACACTTCGGGGATCGAACACCGGCAGCCTGCATGGAAGGCCGGAGTGTTAATCACTCGACCAATCCGTAGAGTCTGAAGATAGAATTGGCTTATTAACCTATGATATATATTCTACATCAGTGACAATTGAAATTCGTGCACCATTTGATAGAACTCACCAAAATGAAACAAGTGATCATAAGTTACATGCCAGATAAAATAATATGTACATGACTAGTCACAAACCCTCACATAAAAATAACGTTGCTGAAAAACCGATTGGACCCGTTTTTGTAGTCGTTGGTATTAAGAAAATGACTTCGACATAAACAATTTGGCTGTGGTTTCTGTTATGACTAGTAAGGTAAATCAAATTTCTGGTAAAGCATACTCATAATAAAAAATGGAAACGAAACTTTTTCCGTTGTATTCGGATTTTATTTGGAATGTAATGAACCGCAAATATGATTAAAATAACTTTGATTTTATATACAGAGGACCTGTGCAGGTTCGGAGAAAAAAGACAACATGTCGGAGGAGACGAATTATGTTGGACCCTCACCGCAATCAGGAAACTGTTTTTTACATTGACATTATCATTCTTATTTTGACAGATTTACAATCTGGTAATCTTCGGAGATTCCCGGTTCTGAAGATTTCCTGATTTATGTCTTTCCGGAAATAAACAAAAAAGGTCCTATAGCATAATGACGTAGATTGTGATGTTAAGATATGCTACTCGCTAAATAACGTTTTATTCTTATCAGTATTATACAAATTTAGGTTAAAGGTTTCTTACTTTTTCACAATGCATACAGTAATTAGTTTAACAATCTCGAAAAAGAAAGAAAAATAACACAACAATTTGTAATTCACATTTGGTGATTCGTTTGTTACATTTTGGACGATTTCCTAAGTCTACATGGCATCCAGTGCGAGACCTGACTATTACCATTGTGACTGATTGTACTATTGACGAAGTGTGTCGAAGTAAGTTCGATTGTGATGTTGTTAACGAGGACGTGTGTTGTGGTTTGTTTCATTGTGATATTGATAACGAGAAAGTGTGTTGTGGTTTGTTTCACTGTGATATTGATAACGAGGGAGTGTGTTGTGGTTTGTTTCACTGGGATATTGATAACGAGGAAGTGTGTTGTGGTATGTTCCATTGTGATATTGATAACGAGGAAGTGTGTTGTAGTATGTTCTAGTGTAATATTGATAACGAGGAAGTGTGTTGTTGTATGTTCCATTGTGATATTGATAACGAGGAAGTGTGTTGTGGTTTGTTTCATTGTGATATTGATAACGAGGAAGTGTGTTGTGGTATGTTCCACTGTAATATCGATAACGAGGAAGTGTGTTGTGGTATGTTCTATTGTGATATTGATAACGAGGAAGTGTGTTGTTGTATGTTCCATTGAGATATTGATAACGAGGAAGTGTGCTTTTGTATGTTCCATTGAGATATTGATAACGAGAAAGTGTGTTGTGGTATGTTCCATTGTGATATTGATAACGAGGAGGAGTGTTGTGGTATGTTTCATGGTGATATTGATAACGAGGAAGTGTGTTGAGGTGTGTACCATTATGGTATTGATAACTAGGACATGTGTTGTGGTATGCTCCATAGTTATATTGATAACGAGGAAGTGTGTTTTTGTATGTTCCATTGAGATATTGATAACGAGAAAGCGTGTTGTGGTATTTTCCATTGTGATATTGATAACGAGGAAGTGTGTTTTTGTATGGTCCATTGAGATATTGATAACGAGAAAGTGTGTTGTGGTAAGTTCCATTGTGATCTTGATAACGAGGAGGAGTCTTGTGGTATGTTTCATAGTGATATTGATAACGAGGAGGTGTGTTGTGGTATGTTTCATGGGGATATTGATAACGAGGAAGTGTGTTTTGGTTTGCTCCATAGTGATATTGATAACGAGGAAGTGTGCTTTTGTATGTTCCATTGAGATATTGATAACGAGAAAGCGTGTTGTGGTATGTTCCATTGTGATATTGATAACGAGGAGGAGTGTTGTGGTATGTTTCATAGTGATATTGATAACGAGGAAGTGTGTTGAGGTGTGTTCCATTGTGATATTGATAACGAGGAAGTGTGTTGTGGTTTGCGCCATTGTGATATTGATAACGAGGAAGTGTGTTTTGGTTTGCTCCATAGTGATATTGATAACGAGGACGTGTTTTCTTGGTATAAGTAGATGTGTAACGTTGTAAATTCAACTGCGGTATGGAAGATGTGTAATGTGACAAGATTGATCGTTATTGAAAGAAAGGGCTATGTTTCAATTACATACATAAGTAGGAATACTACAAGTCAACAACACGCATTATCTCACTCCATCCTGCTACTAAGGGCAGGTCTAGAGTAACACATAAATTGTGACATTTGTTAAAATCTTGTTAAACTCTTTAAATTCATAAAAAGGGCAGGTGATATCTTTCTTAAAACAATCAAAAAGTTAATAATCCTGAAATTTTAATGGTACTGCTTTAAGATTGTTTGGTAGGAATCATAAATGTTACATAATGGGTGAATGTCATAGTGTCTTGTTGAAATATCCCGTTGTATGTAAATAACAAAGTGTTAGATTCATTAGTATCACATTGTAGGTAAATGTTATACAGTTGTGGGACCGCACAACGCACCAAAAATAGCGTGCGCACACCGTGCATACATCGTTCACACACCGTCCGCACATCGTCCACACATGGTGCGCGCAACTGTGCGATTTGGTATCATTTGAAGATCAAAATTACGGAATGACAAAAAGACGGAAAGCTTGTATACGATAATGTACACTGTGTATATATCTGTAATTTCTCATCACAATAATCAAGATTACACAATTTCACAATGCGTGTTACACAGTATTACAGCGACCGTAAGGCTGTCAAGAATGGGTCTGGCTCCAAGGTAACAGAACAGGTAAATAACAATTTTATGAGTGTCCGGAGTTTTACCAGACCAGTGCCTGGCACACAGAGCTGATATGCGATACCGTTTGACCGTAATGAATAGTATTTGTTGTTTGCATTCGTTTGCCTATGGCTCCCCTTCCCCTGGATTTTCACACCCCGGCCTTACCCGAAGAGTTACGTAAGTGCCCCAGGCGGGGAGAAAACTACGGTCCAGGTTCATGTACAAAGGAGTTATGTTTACCTGTATACGGGATTGTGTTGTAATTTTACATGTGACGATTAAGTTTGTTTAAAAACACAGAAAACACAATTTCTAAATATAAGAATGTATAGGCAGAAAGATAATTATATAAGTTTATAGATGTTGCTAGAATATAGAAACATACGTAGACGGCAAGTTTATATGTTTAAACACAAAACCGTATAAAATGATAAGGCATTCCTCAATTTACAACAACCACGATTGTTATCGCACAGCGTCCGTCCATCGAGCGCACAGATGTGCGCACGCAATGATCGTCCAGCTTTTTAACGTTCGCCCATCGTGCACACACCGCACATCGTGTAACGTTGTGCGATCCCACAACTGTAATGTTTAGTGGTGACATAATCATTAATATCACATTGTAGGTCAATGTTATAATGTTTGGTGGTGACGTAATCATTAGTATCACATTGTAGGTAAATGTCATAATGTTTGGTGGTGACGTATTCGTTAGTATCACATTGTAGGTAAATGTCATAATGTTTGGTGGTGACATAATTATTAGTATCACATTGTAGGTCAATGTTATAATGTTTGGTGGTGACGTAATCATTAGTATCACATTGTAGGTCAATGTTATAATGGTTTGTGGTGACGTATTCATTAGTATCACATTGTTGAAAATGTTATATTGTTTGGTGGTGACGTAATGATTAGTATCACATTGTAGGTAAATGTCATAAAGTTTGGTGGTGACGTTATCAGTAGTAACACATTGTTGAAAATGTCACAAATTTTTGTGGTGACATTATCATTAGTAACACATTGTTGAAAATGTCATAAAGTTTGGTGGTGACGTTATCATTAGTAACACATTGTTGAAAATGTCACAAATTTTTGTGGTGACGTTATCATTAGTAACACATTGTTGAAAATGTCATAAAGTTTGGTGGTGACGTAAGCATTAGTATCACATTGTTATGTCACATATATACATTGTGCAACAACACACTTTAAAAATTTACACAACATCACTTACATGGAAACAAAATAAATAAACAAAGCATATGTAATATTACCGGAATAAGATAATAGTTCAGTGAGGCACAATGGAGCTTTCCAAGAGTTGGAAAGGTCCCTTCCTGCGAGGTCTGCCCACTGCGCATCACTTTAGTAAAATGATTCTTACACCAAGGACATTTAAATTGAGACTAGGGGCACTATTTGATTTGGATGATGGTAAGACATCTTTAATCCTTTTCCACATATCATGTGTCTTCCACATATTGTTGTTTGGGCATTGAAGCATACCTTCAGCAAGATAATCACGTTTTGCTTGTTTTATTCTAGTTATATCAAGCTGTTAAGCTTACAGGCAGAGGACGTCTATTAAAGCATAATTTACTATGAAATATGTCTTACATAATGTATTTATATTGATAAAGATAAACTGTAGTAAAATATTAAAGATATTTTACAACCACCAACAAAACTTCATTGCAAGGTTTTAATTGTTTTGTTTTTGTTTTTATAGATTGTTTGTGTTTTACGTTCTATTAACAGCTATAGTCGTTTAAGGACGTGCCATGTTATTTGGTGAAAGAAAGCCGGAGTTCCCAAAGAAAAATCACCGACCTACGGCCAGTACCTGACGACTGCCCCACGTAGGCCTGGAACCCGCGACCCAGTGGTGGAGGGCTAGTGGTAGCAGAATGTTAGACGCCTTAACCTCTTGGCCACCGCGGTTTCAATTGTATGTACTTATTTGTTTTCCTTAATTAGATAAAAAAAATGTATTTTGTCGATATGAAATCGAATTGTAACTGCTATCATCTTTAAAAAAAAATGATTATGAGCAGTTGTTGTTTCCGCTCTGTTTAAACAAGATAAATATCATGCATAATTAACAAAGATATCAATCTAATTAACTTATAAAAAACATGCTTTCCTGCTGGAGTGTTTATTCATTTTTTGTTCTCTGTCTGAAAAATAACGCTGGTTTTTTGTTCTCTGTCTTAGAAATAACACACCAATACAACTGTAATTGTGTATATCAAATATCTTTTTGTTGCAGTAAAAAACATACGTAACTGATGACGGAACGGATTTGGTCATATATGTAACTTGCTTGCAATACGTTGGCTCTACAGAATGCTTGATGAACAGATACATGTGCAAACACCTGTGAATTTATCATATACTTGGTACTAAAGCCCTCGGTCTAATATTGGGTCCCCGGGCTGATATGGCACGTGATATGGATTTCACCATGTACTATTCTCTATATATCGCTCGCGACAACATAAACAATTTCCAACAAATTCACTACAATGGCACATACCGATCCATTGTTGCAGTCATTATGTTACCGCCGTAAGTAACGTGTTCGTGTGTGTTGCTCCTCTCGTATTAAGGGCGGAAAGAAAAGCTCCCTTAAGTACGGAAGCTCTGGGGAGATATTTTTAGTTACCACTTATTTGTTAGCATTTATTTATTATTCCTTATTTGTTATTCCTTATTTGTTATTCCTTATTTGTTATTACTTATTATTAATACTTATTTGTTATTTGTTAATTCCTATTTGTTATTACTTATTTCTAAATACTTATTTGTTAATACCTATTTGTTATTCCTTGTTTGTTGTTGCTAATTAAGCAGGCAACCTCTGTTCAGTAATAATATAAAATGTTCACTTACAATTAATCAGCTAAGCGAGTCGATTAATGTTAGCTTTACCAACAGTAACAATTTGATTAGTTTGCATGTTCGTTAGAGTTGAAGCTGTCCATTCTGCTGGACAGCCTTACCACGTTTTGTCATTATTATCAAATAACCAATAAGTTATAACGACTTAATAATAACAAATAAGGAATAATAACTAAATAATAACAAATAGGTAATGATAAATAAGTGGTAAATAAAAATGTCCCTCGAGGGCTTCCGTACTTAAGTGATATGCATTGACAGCGAGAGTTAACGTTAAAGGAAATGGTCACTTGATAAACTCTTAACTTCTTAACAGGAAGAGAACGTTATCACGTGTGTATACACTTTTAAGGGTCATCAGTTTAGACGCATGAGTGTGCAGCATGTCATAAACAATCACTTATCCATGTTCTTAGATACTATCTGCTCAGAGAGTTGTGTAGGGCACATGTTTGAGAAATATCACTGATCTCGCAACCATTTTTTGCAGGAATTCGCTAAAACTTAATTGTAAACAGGTCTACACAGATGATATTGTATTGTAAACAATGTTTATAACACGTCACAAGTCTACATAGATGATATTCTATTGTAAACAATGTTTGTAATACGTCACAGGTCTACACAGATGATATTGTATTGTAAACAATGTTTATAACACGTCACAAGTCTACACAGATGCTATTGTATTGTAAACAATGTTTGTAATACATCACAGGTCTACACAGATGATATTGTATCGTAAACAATGTTTATAATACGCCACAGGTCCAGACAGATGACGTTGTATTGTAAACAATGACAATAACACGTCACAGGCCCACACAGATGATGTTGTATTGTTTACGATGTTTATAAAGTGTCACAAGTCATCAGAGATAATGGTGCATTGTAAACAATGTTTATAACACGTCACAGGTCAACAGAGATAATGTTATATTATGTACGATGTTTATAACACGTTACAGGTCAAGTCAGATGATGTTGTATTATAAACAATGTTTATAACACAGATCAACAGAGATAATTTTATAGAATGATGATATAATACAAACGAGGGAGAGCTGTAAAAAAAGAGATATATTTAAAATGACATAACCTGTACCATATTTACAGCTGTTGAGTAAAGTATTGGGCGGCCTACAATAATATTAAATGCGGTGTTATCGGTTCTTTGAGTAATATGACTAAGTAGTATAATTGGTTTGATTTTATCAGAATTATCGTTCTATTACATTTTAGTAGTAAAAACAATACCCACATTTTGTAATTAAATTCATTGTCAAACGGGCAACACCAAACACATGAAATTAGGAAACTTTACCATAAGTTGTCTGTCGTGTATGAATTCTGACACAGGTGGATACTGTAGCGCGAATGAAAACGCAAAATGTTGACGCTGCGAATTTAAAGCACTTATCAACATTATAATCTCTGCAAAAATGGAGATGAAATCAGATATACTGTTGGGATAGGTATGTTCCGTTCCTCGTATGGAACCTGTTATGAGAATCAGAAATTTGGAGAATATGTCGTTTGGGAAACACTTACTAGTCTTTGATCGATAGAAAATATTTCATCCAAAATCTGAGCTACCGATTTACTGCTTATTCATTTTCAGTGAATGCATAGCTGAACTAAGACAATTTCGGTGTTATCACTGCGAAGGGAAGTTCGATGTATTAACGAAAACGGAAGTTTCAGAGCATGCCACCGTACACTAACCGAACATTGTTAAACAGGGAAGTTACAGTAGCAATCAAAATTTCGGGCGTAAATAAATGTGCGTTTGATACCGATAGTAATACATGTAGTTCATTTAGTGGAGCATTATTTTCCCGGCCCCAATAAAATTTGGAACTTCAAACATTTGTATATGCCACTTTTTACATCACAATGTATTGATATTTTAACGCCGCACAGATACGTATAATCCCTGTGTAGTAATGATCCTACAGCTTTCATAATTATGTTACCGCTGAATGCATTACTCAAAAACGCACACGGCATTACAAGTTTATTTTGTTAGGCCTAAGATACATCACAGAAAAAAGACACCATAAAAAGCATTAAACAAGATTTTAGCCATCAACATGCTGTTGATATATGCCAGCGTTTAAAAGCATGTATCTCGTTTGACAAGCTACATGTATGTGTCAAAAGACGAAGAAACTGACGAAATGAGGACAAAATACACGAAACTGAACCAAAGTGTAAACAAATACACGTGTTTACATTACAAATTACTGTATGGTTGGACTTTAGATTATGCAAGCAGATAGAGTATTATTCAATGAAAATGATTAAACAAGTTAGTAAGAAAGTATCAAGATATGTAAGAGGAAAAAAAACTATTATGTATCACCTCTGAATCGTTCCGCCCGATAACTTTAAGCCGCAAGACATATTACCGTACCGCAAGTTTATTATTCGTATGACTTTAAGCCGCAAGATATATAACCGCACCGCAAGTTTATTACTCGTACATTGTATGGCCAGCGTGATCATAAGCAAAGATGAAAATACAGGATGAGGTTGTTGTTATTCGCAGTGGAAGTGGCGTTGGTGTTGATGATGGAGCATGGAAAGCGGGTTACAAAATTGCTTGGTAACGATGATAGTTTATTGCACATGCGCCAAAAGATAAGATAAAATAAAATAAACTGGTTGACAGAAGACACCTTATCCTGTTTTCCCACCCATTCATCGTGTATCTCGCTGCATCATCATTTAACGCTATGAATGAAGAAACAGAATCTAAAGTTTTCCCCCGCGGGAACAAAACTGTTTAAGAAAAATGTATCTCTCGTGTGAAGTCAGGGTCCAGGCTTTATGTTTCGCTTGGAAAGGTATAATTTCTTCCATGTTCTTCATTCATGTTATTCTGGGATTCATTGCTCATACATGCACAAAGAATGTACAAATGTTCGGGCCTGTGGGGTTTTGTGAGATTTATAATATATAAATGACAGCAAGTTTTGTAGTCTGTGAAGTCTTATAAATGTACTTCGATTACATTTGTTTCAAGACTACATCGTTGACTAACATTTTCTCTACTCAATTTAAAGAATTTTATATTCTGGCCACCCCCCTCCCCGACGTCTGACGTCACAAACTGAAGTTACTGAACATATGACAGTCAGTGTGAAAATTACCAGAATCTTTAACTTAAAAGTGTTACTGTAAGAAATCACTTACCTGAGCTGTTTACAGCATAAAATCCCACACACAGAAATAGAACCTGAACTATCGGGAACTTCATCCTGCACTGACATGTTACACACACATACAACACACAAAAGGAAGCAGGACAGTCACAAAAGTTCAAAGGTCAAGCATGACTTATGCAGCGATCATGCTCGAGTGGATATATTTAAGATGTTATGTACACTCCTTGTCCAATGTAAAAAGGAGGTGATGGATGATATAAAGTGCATCCGGCTTGGTGATATAGTCAAATTCTGTAACTATAGAAGTTGTTAGGAAATAGTGTTGGGAGATCACAATTCTACATAAATCTGTATTTGGTTTTCCCCCTATTCTTTTTGCTGCCTCTACATATACTGTACATATACATGTGTATCATCACTAAGAGACAGCTAAAGCAGAAAATCATTTACTTGGTTCTCTATAATCCGAGATTTCAGACATTCCGTACGTTAAATAATGAAAGAGTTGTTGATGTGCCGTTAAATACAAACAGACAAACATTCCATAAGTTGAATAATTAAGGAAGTCTTAAAAACTTGATTCTTCTGTGATTTAAATCACATTTAAGTCTTGTTTTGATCTCGTCTAGGAGTTTTTTTTATTGAATTCAACAGCTTATAACCAATTTTAAACATGTATCTGAAAAACGGGTCAAATAAGTAGAAACATGTAACTGTTATTTGTTGAACGTATAATATAACTGTTAGAAATGTGATGGCAGTTTTTCAAAATAAAAAAAACCCTGAATATTTTAATCTCTATGTATAAAGCTAAACTTTTACTGTTTTAAAAAAATGTCATTTATCTCATTTTTAATAACAGAAATTTGATGTTGGTTGTTCAAGTTTAAGATTATCAATATAATGAAAAATGAATAAGAGTAAACACAATTATCTAACCATGTTATTGTAAAACATATCTAAACATGTATTCATAGTTTGTTCACAAAGAACATCAACATAGACTGAATATTTAAATCATAGGTTCATCTATTGCGACAACGAAATAAGGAGGCCATTTAATTTCCAATGTATTATATTATTGACAGCCTCGTACGATATAACTTAGATAGGAGGCGATCTTACAATTATACCAGTGTTTAAATAAAGGGATATAGCTCTAATGTTTGTAAAATTTTGTATCCGTATCTCGTTCTAAAATGACTAAATAGGAAGGGCTACTATTTTTTAATTTGATCCGCTTTAAATAATATAGCTCCTACGCTTATATTTTCGTAAATAAACCTGGACCTTTATTCATGAAACTGGGATCTGATGATCTGATGATCTCATGATTCTGTGCTCAAACCAATTCCTTGCAGTTGCTCGAATTATGAAACACAATCAAAAAGTTAAGTGTTAACACTGAAAACACAATGTGGCTTTGAGTCGCTCCACAAATCTTTCAAATAATGGTTGATATGTGGTTTTATCACTTTATCACCGGTAAAGAAATTAGACTAGAGCACAAAATCGGAGCATGAGCACGAGGCAGTTTGATATATACTGGCCCTGATAATTTAGAACTGAACGAACTCTATCAAGCATATTAATTTATGTAAATATATCATCAGCTAATCCGACAAGGAGGTCACATATGTCTTAGTTTGAAACTCTTTTGAACAGGAGATTCATATCTCAGTAAGGTAGCATATAGCCCTATGTAAAAGAACATTTATCGAATAGAATGAAGCTGATAATTAACATACAACAATGTAAAATACATGAAATTTTTAAATTAAAAAACCGTGTTAGGCATATTAAGAACACGCACTTAAAAACATGGAGTAAGATTCCTTTTCAACTGGCATCGTTTGAATGTTTAGATAAAACTGGCATCGTTAGGAAACTGTGCAATTTAATAATTAAAAAGAAAACCGGCTCAATGTACGCAAACACAGAAAACTGTTTCGTTTATAAAAAGACAAAATGTAACAAAACAGATCGATAAATGCTCATTTATTCACGGATATCAATACATTTTTCACGACAACCATGTTATTTAGTGAAAATATCATAGTCCTATTCCTTCGTATGAATTAATGTTATATAACCTTTTGTGACATAATCAAATGATAATGTAATGCAATGGAATTAGAGTATGACGTCACAATAGAGACAATGCGGATGTATATAGACTTCCAAATGAAAAGTTCGTGACGAGTTTTTTTTATAAATCTCATATGAAATAAAACCTCTAGTAGGATCATATATGTTTATGTATATGGTTCAAAAAAGTATTGTCAACAGTAAATTATCACAAAACGCTGGAATTACTGATGATTGAGATATTGGACTATGAGGTAATTCCAACAGTGTAGACAATATAAGGTTGGCCAATTTTTGGAGCAATCCGTTCCTTTATCGAGACACAGAACAAAACACAGAACACTTACATTTATAAATATTCAATGAGTTAAAATATTGTGAGTATAAACATTAGTAAAATGAAGTAAGCAATTAAAATATAAAAAATTAAATAAACATAACAACAAAAAGTAACAAAATCAGTTTCTCCCATTATACAAATAAAACAATAATAAACAAATCAAGAAAAATAAACCAAATGACTTTGATGTTTAAATAATATACAGTAAAAACTAATGTGTATTTCAATCATGAATGGCAATCACACTAAATATGATGTATCCGAACAAATGTTCAGCATCGTTTTATCTCTTATTTTTAAATTAACTCAATTTACAACAGTTAACAAAGACAATTATTGGCGCGGGGGTCTTAATTTGGGAGGAAACTTGAGTTCCCAGAAAAAACCCACGTGGCCGGGCAGGTAACCGCATACCTTTTCGCGTCCGATCAGGGAATCGAACCCCGGCCACTTTGGTGAAAGGCAAGTGCGCTATCAACTGCGCCCCCGACCTCCGCTGGTACTTTCTCGTTTCAATAATAGTTAATACATGACTGCAACATTGCTTTTGATTCAATCAACAACATAAAGATATACATACAGTAATGCAAATTATATATCAAACAGTTTTGTCCTTTTACATAACTCATAGTTTTGCGCAAGACTGGAATTGCAAATAAATGGACATTCTATCGTAAAAGTCTCGAACTCTCTTTAATTCCGGAACTAGTATCGTACTGAACCGTCACGAGGACTGCTATTTACATCCTAATGCCGAACTGTGGCAACTTATGGGACTAGTTTGTTTTAACTGTGGCCGTCTGTTGCGACTGGTATTGGTCTACAGACTAGAAATGTAATGGCATTGTTGCAACATAAAAGGACAAGTGACAAACTGCTGTCGCCTAGGAGACAGCAGGTAACCTTATACTGTCTGTAGTGTTGGACTGAGGCCACCTTGTAGACCAGTATTGAACTGTTGACTGAATATGGTCACTTTTGAGGCTAGTATTGAACTGTTAACTCAGCTGTGGCCACTATGGAGACAAGTATCGAACTGTTGAATGACAGTGGCCGCCATGAATACCGGTATTGAATTGTCGACTGAATTGTGGCCACACTGGAACCTGGTACCGACAAACTACTGCCTAGAGTGTCAAAGTGTGGCCGTTATTGGGACTGTCATATTGACATCATTTTGTAGTATGGAACGCAGACCACCGTAGGGACTATGATTTATCCTATGTCCAACCGTAGAATAACACTTCGATCGGCATTCGTGATTTTTCCGTAATTTAATGCGCTTTTTAAAAATCAACTTCACCTCATCCATACCTCGCTTATTCATTCAAATAGACCGATGTTGAGTCAATGTATTCCTCCAGTGATTGGTATATCACACGGATGTCCTCCTGAAATTATTAAAACATGTGTATTTTCCTAAAAGATAATTCAATAGTCATATAAAATGGAGGCATTCTTTTCGTGAAAGAGTGAATCAAATGTGTATAAAACATGTAATATGTATTTAAAGGAAAGTATTTATGCCAAATCTAGGTTTGAATAAACATCAAGAAAAATAATCATTTATATGATAAGTATTGCCCTATGAGTATTAACATAGACATATTCTGCATTTCATAGTGAATTTATACGAATACCTCGTCTTGTTTTCTTAATTTTATAGTTCGTAAATAAATTTGATTTTTTTTAGATTATTAACCCCAACCAAGACCACTTAAAACAACCATTATTCTCAGTACAATTTCCTACATTATATTTTGGTCAGAAAAAGCTTCATTTTTATATCCAATGATGAAAGACTAAATGTACTTCAAAATTCACTATTTCATTACCTGCACACCACCGATGTTAGCCCACCGTATGATTGTCAATAACTAATATAAATGTGTTTATCGGATATCTGGCTATATTTAACAATCTTCATGAGAAGTTTGGTTTGGTTTTATTTTATCTAACGTCCTATTAACAGCTGAAGAGTTATTAATATTTGAAATAGAACTTATTTGAATACTGACCATTTACCCTGCAAATAGGAATATTTCAATACATTGAAAATTCACTGCAACTCAATATATGTTAATCTTATAGACTACCAGCTCGCAAGTTGCATTTGTATTACAACACAATGAAGAAACCACAATCATAGATAGCCCGATCAATCAATAACAAACCATTGTTTTGAAGGTGTCAGGTCGTCTGGTCTGGATTTCTCTTGTGGCATCGAATACATCAACAATGTTATCTAGGTCCATCCTTTCAATAACAGTTTTGAGCAAACAGAATGGAACACAATTGGTTTTTCCATCTCTGCAAAATAAAATAGAGTATTCTTTGAAGATTTATTAAACTTCGTATACAGCCAAACATGCATTAAATGACCACTCTCAGAAACTCCAAAGAATGGTCTCTTAATGTAAGTGTCTCTTAAAGGAGCTGTCCACACAAACAGGTTTGACTGTGTCTATATTCAGATTTCTGATGTAAATATTTGCTTTCATATGAATAAGCTTTCAGTGGTGAATATCTGTATCATTGTTCGTAGATTGTTTTTTTTTTTTTATGATATAGTAAGTATTGACATCTATTAAGATTATTTACTTTAAAGAACTATTACGGAAATGTTATAGGGAAAAACTGTCTTAATTCCTATTTCGTTACATCCTCAATCGATATTTAGTGATTTTAATCATTTTTGGTTATGACCTCACAGTGACAACAATCGATTAATATTTAGTGTATCACAATATTAAGCAAAACGTAATTTTTGGATTGTAAGACAATATTGTTTCCTTTCTATAATTATGTCTAGGTTCAATATCATATGATATTACTATTCACATATTCGTTTCTAGTTGATAAAACGATCGAAAATGGGATTTCCCCACACAAATACGATGTGCTGTATGCTATTCTGTTTTCTTCTACTCAGTATCTCCTTGAAATTGTGTATTACCTGCAAACAACTGTTATGGCAGTATTTTTTCGTGCCGCCTTTAGACGAATCGTTGACGAAACAGCATTAACCAATCTACGTGTGGCTATCTTATTGGTGTCCCGATCTCTTACTGAAGTCAGCAAAACTTTCAGTTGTCTTTTCTCTTTATCCTAAGAAAAGAAGAAAACTTAATATTCATGTTTCCGTTAGATCATTCTGTAAATAAATGCGTCTGTAAATGTATTCACAATGCTGTCAGTAGTTATAACTATACAATATGAAATACACATTATATGACTCAACACGCATATTTCTGTATATATATATATACAGTCAGAAGAATCTCCTAGAAGAGTTGAAAGTACTAAAGACTCGTTGTAAAAGAATTTTTCTTTACATAATATATATATATATATATATATATATATATAGTAGATAATAAATAAATAAGTCCTTGCGAAGGAAAATATAGAATAAAAACAAAATTTTCAGATCGTCCGCTAGGCCTCTGCCTTCTAGGGCTTCTTCAGGCGGATTGATGTTTATTTATCACCGTTGGTTACATATATATAAATTACCATTACCCTTGTTCTCATTTTGAGGTTATAACATCACCTGGATTTGACCAAGATTTATACGGCTGATGTCGTCGAAGCATAAGACGCTTACCCTTTACGAACACATGGTCTTATTATCCTTAAACGTTTGCATGAGATCCATTTACATTCTTTCTTGTACATGTTTGTCCCAGTTTTATTGATTTTGAGATTTAATAACGGTTTTATTGACCCTTAAATATTTCTTTGAATTCAGATACAAACATTTGATGATTAACATCGGTTGATTATTTCATAAACAAACTCAAAACGTTAATACACTAATCACGTTATTTAGACCCTGTTAGTTTAATTATCAGTTCACAGACTTTGACGTAGAATAACGTAAATTATTAAGAACTGATAATGAAAGTGGTATGACAAAGAGCAAAAATAAATTAAAAAATCCAAACACTCAGTTTTGAAATAAGCGATTGGTACTTATTTGAAAACACGCTTTTGACATACTATAGTAATCAATCTATCTGCTACGATAACAATTGAATTTGTTTCAGCATTCATAGAAGTATTTAATAATTTACCTGTTGTTTGTGTAGGCAGATGTCCACTTCTTGAGTATCACCAAGATCCTTAATTGTGCCCGACATGCTGATTTTGAATACCTCTATTTCAAGATCTGACTGATCGTCCTCAGGAAGCAATTGCACATCCTATAAGACAAACATGAACTACTATTCTGAACGGTTTTTTGTATATGGTTACAAATCATGCTACTGTGACCTTCTCGATGAAGTTAATTTCTGTGTATTCATACAGTATTATTATATTGTTGTTTTTCTTCATTTTTATTTTCTTATTTTTTTACATGTATATACAATATAATACAGTATATATACGTGACATAACATAACATAAAACAAACATGTATTTGGACACACATATTCATTCATTATCACACGAATACCAATTCAATTATCAGAAAGGAAAGGTAGGATTGTTTAAAATTTGTATTTTAAATTTGATTTCTCTTTGAGCTGTTAGTGTGAGGATAATCAATATTTACATTTACTCAATGTAACAACTATATGTATAAATAGATAAGTTACTTATGACAAATTGGTCCGATATTATTTCTTAATAGTACATGTAGGAGCTTTTATCATTTCCCAGACCCTTAAACCGGAGAAAATTTAACCTGTCGATAGAGAAAAAACACAATAATTGGTTTGGAAAGACAAATGCACTTTTAAGACAGGATGTTGATATACAGAAAGAGACATATTATAAAATCACATTTTAATGATAACCCTAGACCTGTTCTTCGTTAGAAACCAAACGTTGATGCATACAAAAACAAAATTCACAAAATTCCATTTGAATGTTAACACAAAAGCAGTATCTCAATAATCCGAACTTTCTTAATTGAATTTTATTTAATGGGTGACGATTTAATTTAGAAGCCTGATTACTCACACTTTCTGGTCTGTCGAGCAGAACAACAATTTGAGAGTTATAGTCATAGACCATACGCCAGAAATCCACACATGTGTCTTCCAATGGTAACTGTGTAGCCAAAAAACCATAGGACTTGGAACAGGACTGAAATATCAAAGGTATTAAAAAAATAACATTAATGATAAAAAGCAAAAAAAGTGAAATATCATGACAGGTGAGTTGGCATGCACTGTGACAAAAATGCAACATCACTTTGTGTACTCTGTCACCTCCATCAAACAAATGACCAGTGAAGCGTATGTTCACAAAGCTGAAAAATATGTACGAGTTATCCACGTACATCAATGTCGATTCGGCTATGTATGAACAATTAGTACAACAAAGCGTAGTTGAATCGAGTCGAGCTAAATCGAGTAATGTCGGTACATACATAACTAATGGTACATACGCTTACAGCGTAGCCAAATCGACATTGATTTACGTGAACAACTCGTGCATAATTCACACATTTGTGTACATACGCTTCACTGGTCATTTTTCTGATGAAGGCGACAGAGTACATACCGTACTAGACATCGAAACGTCACAAATAAAAACTTATTGGTTGTGCTTCATGGATATTCATATTGTTCGATGTGAAAATGAAAAAGAACGTATATAGCGGTTTAGAGGGTATTAAATATCTTTACATTGATTATGTTTCATGAATATTGGGGTAATAATGAATATTGGAGTGATTAACGATACATTTGCACTCGTGCGAAGTAGAAGTAAAAATATAGGTAAACAAATACGTACTCGTGAAATACATTTGATTTACAATGAAATACTTTTTTTTTTAATTTCATCACCAATACAAAATTTACACATGTAACGTTTCGTTCAATTCCTATCGGTAGTTTTCGAGCAAAAATGGCGGAAACCTCCCTCGCGGTAGAAAGCGCAAAAACAATAAGTACCCCATTTCGTTTTGGGGACTTAATTATTAAAGTTACACTAAAAGTGTTATACAAAGTTATCAATGTGAAGAAACCACGACAAACTACTTACTGGTAGGACTACCGCGTTGATGTAATCGTTTCTTCCCTCCATGGGCGATTTTAATCGTACCCGAAATCGATTGACTAAAATAAAAAGAATCGAAACTTCGACAAAACCAACAATTAAGGACGAACAATGTGCCAAAAACATTTTTTAACATTCCTTCTAACGGATGTCTTTCTGGTATGTTTGGATGTTATGTGTATCAAAATAGTTCCAAAATAGAAACGAAATAAGCGGAAATAATTACATGTTATCAAAAATTATTTTAAAAACCCATGGAAAACATATACATAATGAGAAATAATGAAAAAATAACAAAAATAGCATATTTACCTATATTTGATATTTGCTTATTAAAAACAATACCTGGTATGCAATCTCTTGACCTGTTCTTCGGTATGTTTGCATTCGAAAGTGCAATCGAATAGTCTTTTTCAACAAAGGCTTGTTTTGTTTTGTTCAGGGCCTGTCAATAAAGCGTCAAAGAGGAAACGTCTTGAATGTGTATTAAATGCAGAGTTATTCCTTAAAATAAAGTGTATGCTGTTATATAACATACAATCACAGAGTTACCTTATCATAGTATACATATCTAAAGTAAAGTATTAACATGATTTTATATACATTTGGAAAATACAGTTTTATCAATGAATGGTCTTTTTATGAATGAAATATTTTTGTAAATTGATAAGTTCGTAACTAATCGTTAACTTACATTTAATAATATTGAGTTAGTGTATTAGTATATTTTACTTCACATTCGTCTTGTATCCGATGGTGTCGATTGTCTTGATCTACTCCGAATCGACCTTTAGGGATTGACGTATCTGGAAATGTCAAACTGACATCTAAGGCGTCGTGTAGAGCTATGTATTGCTCCTGTAAAGAAATTTCATTGCATCAGAAGAGTATTTGTCGAAGCAAAATAAATTGTGAAAAATACGGAGGGATGCTAAAGATATACACGGTGCATGCTATTATCTCCCTTGGTCTTGTTTTTTCGCTCTAGTTGTGTGTATTTTAAAAGTAATCCTATTTATTTCTTTTTCTAGTGAGATACAATATAAGTTTCAACAGATAGTTAAATTTAAACAAAATGTCATTTCTGAACATGGAATACATTTGATTGGTGATAAGTGTTTCTTAATTTCGATTATAAATTCACCTTAATGTGTTTTATCAGTGTTCTAAGTGACATCATATGAATCGCATTTCTATTAAAATATTTTATAAAATTTTATACATTATTTACGATTTCTTATTATGGTTTTATATTGTCATCAAACACTATTTTAAATATTTCCATATTATCCCAATGTGCATGCGAATGGGATATGTATATGTCATGTACAAGATATATAAATCTGAGTGAAGACAAAGGGTATGCTTGTCAAAGACTGATTGAATAGTGATAAGTATGCTCAAAATATAGTACATTGAACGTGCAAAGTAAATGTCATAACTAGATTATCAAAAATTAATTTATAGTTCACAAAAATAACTCACCACTGTCTGGATCATATTCAGCCTGTCTTTGCGCATCGTCAGAGTGTACTGGTAGACGTCTATTGTCTGGGACGATTGAGAATGTTTCAAGAGAGCATCGAGAGCGATATAGGTACCAGTCCTACCTATTCCAGCGCTTCAAACAAAATATATTTATGTCACAACATTAGCCAGAGTTTATCATAAAGTGTGTGATACCCGAGTATTCTATTACGAATTTATTTTAAATGTTATGAATTATGGGCAACATATAGCTTATCGTGTATAAAAAGATGCTATAAAAGTATATACTTGATTCATTGAATTTTCAGTATAAGCTAGCAATTCAGGTCATCTTTTTCAATAAATACATATAATGTGTATGCAAAGTATAATTCCTTTGTGTGACATTTATCATGAATATATTAATATGTATTCATCATATAACATACACTTTAAAGTGGTCTTATTCTAAAGTTACAAATCGGACCATATACCATGATACCATACCTTAGTCTTGTTCTAAAGATACAAATCAGAAAATATACAATCCCGTAGTGTTGTTCTAAAGTTACAAATCAGAATATATACCATGATACCATACCTTAGTCTTTCCTTCATATTGATGCCCTAATTTGTGAACCGTTTTGAGACGACCTGCGAGCTAGCTAGGTTGTGATAAAGCGGTGTATCAGAACCTCGAATCATTATTATCATAAGTCACCTTTTCTAATTAGTAGTAACTCTAATTTAATTATTGATAGATTAAACAAATATAATTCTGAACAAAAAATCAACTTGGATAATAACACTTCAAATGGCAGAAATCTTAAAGAGTTATTTTGAAGAAGAAAATCTTTCAACACCAAGTAAGAAAGATAAAATGATCATTCCTGATTGGTTTTGCCTTGTTTAAAAAAAATAAAAAAATAACGTACAGGTAACTTGGGAGAGTTTTAACCAAAACTTAGTATCATGACTATAAACTTCCTTGGAAGTTAACCAACAAGACAATTTTGCATACAAGTCTTAGTGCATCATTTAAATTTCAACTTTAATAGACAGTAAGTAGTATTGCTCCATGATATGTTTCAATTGTCAGAGTTTGAATTTGCATACCTCCTACGTTGGAATTAATGATTTATATTTTAGCTGTTCGAAGTGCAGTGTAACCAATTTATACCAGCTTCAGGCACAGATGACCTTAACTATTCTTTAACAATTTAATTGAAATTTGATTTAATCGATCTCTGATATTTTTGACATTTGACTATGAGACAGTTTGTAGTATCTGACATGATGGTAAGGACCCTTGATAATTGTTTTATTTCTGGCTTGATCACTGAAATTAAGGAATGTCACCTACCTGCAATGTACAACCAACGGTCCCAGTAGGCTAGTCTGTTGTTGATCTACTGACCGTTGGAACTGGACCAACTGGAACGAGTTAGGAACGCCGTGATCCGGCCAAGTGATGAAGTGGAATTGGAATACTGTGCGCTTTTCTTCAGTCTATGGAAAAACATGTTTATCTTAATCATTTTTGAGAAAAAGTTTGACGCTTAAAATTTTCAAGTTTAAATTATGCTACGAATAACGTTTTGTAAAGAACAACAGTTATATATATGCAATTGTTCGCGAAATAATTGTGATCTGCAATAGACAGAAAGGGATTTATCTACAACCTATTGGTTGAATGTTGAATTACATGCCCTAAAAGGTCGTGACATACCTCTTGATTCATTATTCCCAAAGTTCGGGATATAAAAGCTAGGAGACGCTTTTCCTCCATGACGGTTACCGATAGATGTCCATTAGTCATCGTTTTACCGACAGGCGGCCAGTAAGGATGACATTTCGACTAAAAATTGAAAATTAAATAACCAGTTAATATTTACATGTATATTTTACAATCATTATTTTATCAGAGCTGCACATCGGTCTACATTACAGTTGCTGTGTGTCCACAGATAAGAACAAGTTTGAGATTGTGTATCATTGTTTCATTAAAACCTGTTTATTTACACAATTTTTGATCCTTTTTTCTTTTCAGCTCTAACTAGAAATATGTGACGTCATCTTACTGTTCACTCTTACGTAACAGTGGGTAATATTAAACATGTAACACGGAAATATTAGCTGATAGTTTTATACCATTGATAAACAACCTGATAAATTGTATAAGGAATGATTTATTGTAGTAAAAATCATATCTATATATCGTCCAATATAATTTCAAAATTATTCTAAAACGCTTGACCGTACATGTACGATACTCGTTCTAGAGATATAGAAGCATATGAAGCACAAAGTATAAAGTACATAAATAAACACTTTAGAATTTACATTATTGTTCCCCCCTGGTAACAAAATCAGACATAGTTTTTACAAAAACTAAACAAAGTGAAGTTTCTGTTTTCTTAGCATCATTGATACAAATGGAAAGAACCCAAACCGAACGTCTGTGATCAGGCGAGCTGAAATATGATGAACTTTTGCCTAGTGTTTATAACGCTGATGTGAGCTGTTTGCTAGTACGAGTAACCAGACATACTGTAATGACCTGGACCTTCTGCAAACGACTAGTTATTGAAGCGAATGACCACAGTGCATGGCATAACCGTAGTCTAAACGAGATGTTAAACGTGAATGCACTAAATTCGTTCATGTTTCTGTAGTGGTGAACACCCAATATCTAATATACCTGATCTGGTTGATAGCCTCAGGGTTTTTCGATATCATTTTATTTTCCTCCATGTTCACTTGAATTAAACTCATAGACATTTTACAACGATACTACCTTGGTTCCTTCCTTTAGGTTTGTAACCATTACTATTTTCCCCGAATTCTGCTCCCAAATCATTCTCCAAAAATCCCACACAGTTCCTTCCTTCGGACCTGTAAATGCAAATTACTTGTTAGTCCGCATCTTTTATTACGAAAACATGTTTATTCCGACGGTTTTATATAGATCATCAACACTTGACCGTGAGGTCGTTTTGGAAGCGTTTGAGCCCTGATGCGCTGGAAAGCGCAGGTTAATATTGATATTTATTTATTGCACTTAAAATGTAATAAAAAAATCTATATGAATAAAATCTATCCAAAACAATTACTGAAACGCAGGTTGATGTAACAATCTCCTCAACTAGGTTCGCAGATTATCAAACATCATGATCAGAAAATTTATATTGTTTTAATACTATTGCGACAATGGAGAGACATGATAACTGACCTTGTGTTGCAATGTATTGCTGCTCCTCGGTAACGGACTGGAAAAAAGAAAACGCATGACGGATAAGATTGTAATGTATCTGATACAAATCATAATCAGTTATAATCAGTTTTAATATACCTAACACTCACATCTACATATCCTTGTCATGTTTTTATGATGTATATTTACATAATATCAATGCACGTACATCTATAAACGCTTAATAAAGTGATATCTACATGATTTTACTTTAACTTATTGCTATAAACTGTTAGTTTAAATATTCTCCATATAAGTCAAAGGAACTAATGTCTAAGTACATTAACTAGTTATAAACATGTTGTTTTAATGTACGCAAATTCATATGTGGTAGGCTAGGTTATACTTTCAAATTTGAAGACAATTTAAAAAAAAAAAAACCTTCAAGAAACTAACCTGCATGTAATACTAAACACATACATCTGCTAACAGTATACATTGAACACTATTTGAACGTATCTATATTAATGTGATACAATGCATTATTTTCTTTGTAATGTTACAGTGTATAGTTGATATTAGTTGTATATAATGTCAATGTACACACGTCCATACCCTAATAGTGTCAGTTTTATAAATGATTAATGTCAATGTACACACGTCCATACCCGTATAGTGTCAGTTTTATAAATGATT